ATAAAAGTAAGAAAATAATACAAGTAAGAATATTTTTCCTTTCAGAAAGAAGATAAGAACAAGAGGCTCACCACGGTGGTGCTGGCGATGAGATCGGCGCGGGTGATCGACGGCGGTGAAGACGGGGACAGGGCGTGATGGACCGCTAAACCTAGACAAATATTGAGGAAAATAGAGGTTGAAGGTCGAGCTTGGAGAGGAGAAAGCTTAAGTAGTGTGGCTTGGGCATTTCATCGAACACCTCATGTGCTATGGAGGTGAGCTAGAGCACCACAAAGCCCCCCCTCGCCGGCAAGAGAAAAACAGAGCACTGGAGTGCTCTGCTCGCGAGCGAGGGGGTATATATAGGCAGCACTATTGGTCCCGGTTCGTGGCATGAACCGGGACTAACGGGTAGCCATTGGTCCCGGTTCATGCCACCAACCGGGACCAATAGTGGTGGGCCAGGAGCCAGGCCCATTGGTCCCGGTTCGTCCCACCAACCGGGACCAAAAGGTCTGGACGAACCGGGACCAATGGCCCACGTGGCCCGGCCGGCCCCCTGGGCTCACGAACCGGGGCAAATAGCTCCATTGGTCCCGGTTCTGGATTGAACCGGGACTAATGGGCTGAACTGGCCTGGGCCATTGCCCCCTTTTCTACTAGTGCTAGGGCATATTTCCAACAATTTGCACAGAGCGCCACAACCCTCGTGCCAACGGACAGTCAAAAAAGAGATGCTTGATAGTCTCGTCCCGAACACAGAAACTACACCTAGTAGAACATGCCCACTTGCACTTAACTAAATTGTCCTTTGTTAAGATTACTTGTTTATGCACAAACCACATAAACACTTTAATCTTCAAAGGGACCTTAACTTTCCAAACATCTTTGGAACTAGGAATCACACTAGTGTTAATGATATCTATATACATAGATTTAACCATGAACTCCCCGGATCTAGTAAGCTTCCAACACAACTTAACGGGCTGAGGAGTTAACTGAACCTCCATCAGTCTACGGACTAGGTGAAGCCATGCTTCCCATTGATCACCCACGAGCACCCTCCTAAACTGAATGTTGAGTGGAATGGGCTGCATAACCGTGGCAACAAGAGCCTCACGACGCTGAACAATACGATAAAGGGATGGATACTGGGTCGCCAAAGGCGTGTCACCAAGCCACGTATCCTCCCAGAATCGAGTGTTGCTGCCATTACCGACAAGACACCTCGTTCTGTTAAAGAAGGTAGCTTTGATTCTCATGAGCCCCTTCCAGAACGGCGAATCAGTTGGTCGCAGAGTGACCTGGGATAGGGTCTTGGACTGCAGATATTTACTACGTAAAATCTGCGCCCACGTTGCCTCTATCTCAGAAGATAACTTAAACAACCACTTACTAAGCAGGCATCTGTTCTTAACTTCAAGATTTTCAATACCAAGGCCCCCTGGTCCTTTGGTCGACAGATAATATCCCATTTGGCCAGTCTGAATTTTCTCTTAAGCTCATCACTTTGCCAAAAGAATCGGGATCGATAGAAGTCCAGCCTTTTCCTAACTCCAACTAGGACCTCAAAGAAGGATAAGAGGAACATAGGTAAACTCATGAGCACCGAGTTAATAAGAATCAACCGGCCTCCATAAGACATGACTTTTCCTTTCTAGCAACTCAGTTTCTTCTCAAACCGATCCTCTATACACTTCCACTCGATGTTTGTTAGCTTACGATGGTGAATGGGAATACTGAGATACGTGAAAGGTAAAGCCCCCACTTCACAACCAAACAATTGTCTATAAGCCTCTTGTTCGTCTTTGGCTCTACCAAAGCAGAACAGCTCGCTTTTATGGAAATTAATCTTCAGCCCCGACAATTGTTCAAATAAGCATAACACTAACTTCATGTTTCTCGCTTTTGCCAAGTCGTGTTCCATAAAAATGATTGTATCATCAGCGTATTGCAGAATGGACAAACCACCATCTACCAGATGAGGCACCAAGCCACCCACCTGACCGGCCTCCTTTGCCCTCCCAATTAGTATCGCCAACATATCAACCATAATATTGAACAAAATTGGAGACATAGGATCGTCCTGCCTCAGACCCTTGTGTGTTTGGAAATAATGACCTATGTCGTCATTCACTTTAATTCCAACACTCCCTTTTTTGCGTGAATGCTTCCACCTGGCGTCGCCAAGCTTCATCAAAGCCCTTCATGCGCAAAGCCTGTTGAAGGAACGGCCATTTGACTTTATCATAAGCCTTCTCGAAATCCACTTTGAAAATAACTCCATCCAGTTTTTTCGTGTGAATCTCATGGAGCATTTCATGAAGCACCACAACCCCTTCCAGGATGTTCCTGTCCGGCATGAAAGCCGTTGGAGAAGGCTGCACTACGGCATGCGCAATCTGAGTGAGCCTAATCGTCCCAACCTTGGTGAAAATTTTGAAACTGACATTCAGAAGACAGATAGGCCGAAATTTCTCGATTCTCACGGCCTCTGTTTTCTTAGGGAGTAGGGTTATTGTTCCAAAATTAAGTTGGAAAAGCTGCAAATGTCCCGAGAACAAATCATGGAACATTGGCAACAGGTCCCCTTTAATAATATGCCAACACTTCTTATAAAACTCAGCCGGGAAACCATCCGGTCCAGGTGCCTTATTATTTTCCATCTTGGAAATGGCCTCGAAAACCTCATTTTCCGCGAAAGGGGCAGTTAAGATATTGTTCTCCACAGCAGTAAGTTGAGGTACATCTTGGATCCTAGACTCATCCAGCGACACACTGGGCCAACCATCTTTCTCTTTTTTCCTTTTTGGGTAAAACCTTTCATAAAAAGGTGCATAACCACCTGGGACAACATTTCCTTTGTTCTAGATAGCTTCCTTTATGCATCTTCAAATAACGAACATGAGCATGTTTGTTTGTATTTTCATATATTTTTTGTTTTTTTGTCTGGTTTTATTTTATTTCCTTTTTTCAATTTTGTGAACTTTTCTCGATTCCATGAACAATTTTTGTGAACCTTTTTGACTTCGTGAACGTTTCTTAGATTCATGTTTTTTTCAAATCGATGAATTTTTTCAAATCATTGAACTAATTTTCAAATTTGATGAACTTTTTTTTTCAAAATTCAATTTTATTTTTTTCAAATTTGATCAACTTTTTCAAGTTCGCTGAGCTTTTTCCTAATTGATGAACTTTTGGGGAGTTTGTGAAAAAAATTCAAATCGATGATTTTTTCCCCAAATCAATGTACTTTTTCAGTTTTCTTGAAATCCACGAACTTTTTCAAATCCATGTATGTTTTTCAATCTATGATCTTTTTGAATCATGGTTTTTTCAAATTCATGAACTTTTTTCAAATTCATGATGTGTTTGGATCCATATTTGTTTTTCATAGCCAACCAGTAACTGTTTTGAACGTTGTACAATGAAGCAATCAAGTGAGGGAAAGGAGTGAGCGAGAGAAGGGAGGAGCGAGGGACCAACTCGCTCGCTGGGCCGACCCACACGAGACGGTTCCGTGAGCGACAATTAGTAGCTCCACCCCCTAGGGTCGGGCCTATTTGCATGCATCTTAGTTGTTATGGTCACTCATTTTTCTTGTGCTTTTATCGAAATGTGATTTGATGAAGTGGCATGTAGTTATAGGCAGGCTCAACTGCTTCATTTATGGATTCTTTTAGGTAGGTTTTGTGAATTGAGTAAAAGATATTATGGTAAAGCATACCATTCTTTGTTCTAGTTTAGGAAGCGTATGTTCATTGTGCAATAATCGTATTAAGGTATGACTGATTTTGTGGTGCCATCTACTTCCTTTTGTGGCTGCTTTACCATAATATATTTCATAACTCGTGTCGGTTGTATAATATGTAAAGTAATGGTACATTTTGATGTATTTTTTCACCCTAAATTGATCAGAGGTTCTTGAAATGTGGTTGTTAAATGCACTTATTCATGAACAATTTATGTAGATCAAATATTTCTACAAACATATTTTTTTGTAAATATTTTGCATCCTTTTTTTTGGTTGAGACATCCTCAAAACCGACGGGCATGATAACGCATGCCTCTGTGGTCTACCATGTCCTTAGGCCCACAATTCATAGACACGGGTGGCCTCTATGCCATAGATGCAAGGGTGTTCCTTTTTTCATTTGTTTGCAGGCAACTTGGTGTCTACAGATAGGGTGGCTCAGCCCCCTCCCCCTCCGCGCAACTTGGTGTCTACAGATGCAAGGGGTGTTCCTTTTTCCTACGCAGGGGCATATGAGGATTGAATCTTACAATAAATTCAGTGTAGTAATATGTCTCATTTATTGAAGATCGGTTTTGCTAAGTTAGAACATTACTACTCCAAACGGCATCGTAAGCGGTGCATGCCATTCATTGACCCTGTCGCAAGCGGCTAAACCAAATTTGAAGTATTCATATAGCACACTATTCAAATGCGACAAAAATACATCTGTAATGACGGTATACCACTCGTCCTCTATCCACGTTACCTTATGTAGATAGCACGTGTGACCTGTCAACCGTCCAATTATGTCGCTAGCAAGTTCCTTAGCGTTGAAACTGAATGTCCACGCCTCAGAACAAATACACTGCCCGTCATCGTATCTTCAAGAAATCAAACCGCTATCTATCAATAAATCAAGATATCTTCTATGAAGATATACAATTTAATTGTATGAAGTGCGCTCTGAGTTCTATATAAACAGGAAGTGAGGCCATTTCAGTTCATCCCAAACTTCTCCATAACCATAGGAGTGTGCCATGGTTTCTCAAGTCCCAACTAGGAAGCAATTCTAGCAACACCGCCTTGAAGTAAGTTATAGGGTAATCGAAGCAAGAAAGCCACCATATTCACTCTAAGGAGGGATTGCCCTATACTGTGTCGCCCAACTCCAACTATAGTCAAGTCCAAAACTACTCTTTGTCCACCCTTTCTTTCCCAAAAGTTTAACTCATCCATCCCCTCCATTCCGTCGGTCCCCAAATCCCAAACCAAAGAAAACAAAATGGGCAATGGCATCTCCAAAAACACATGCTTCTCCGGTGACACCTATGCGCCGGCTGTCTCATCGGACCCAGTACCCGGCGACATCCATGGGCACTCCTTCAAGTATGTGCCAATATCCGTCGCCTTCGACAAGTCCTCAATGGCTAATGTGCTCTCATCGAAAACACCCTTCTTCTCTTTATCCGGAGCGGCCATCAACGCCAACCAAGCAACATCATCATCAATGCCGTCGTTCCAGCTGCTTAATGAATTGATGGGGCCGCAATCATATGCGTGCATCGTTAAGAGCTCGTGCTCCTTCACCGCTGCACCGCTCCAAGCCACACCAGCTAGGTCGTCCTTGTCTGGACACTTCTTGGATTCATCCAGCACCGTATCCACTATCTCCAACCAGTTGCCAAGGCGGGCCTGCATGTACGGTATGCTAGACCACTCCTTCTCATCGTCCTCATCCGTTGTTAGTAAACAGGATAGTGTTTCTCATCTCATGGTTGAACACGGCGCCACAGGCTCTCGGTGTTGCAATGAGCGGCCTCTCGGCAAATCTTTGGCCACAGCCGGCTCCAGGCTCGATTTCAGGGTGCCACGCAACAGCCTCCTATCAAAGGGTCCTATTGAGTTGTCAAATATGGATTCCTTCGGGGATGGGAATCACCGCTCGCCACCGAGCAATAATGTGCAGTGGGCTCAGGGCATGGCCGGCGAGGACCGGTTCCAGGTGGCGGTCTCAGAGGAGCGTGGGTGGGTGTTCGTGGGGATTTATGACGGCTTCTTTGGTCCAGATGCGACCGACTACCTCTTTGCGAACCTCCACGTCGCCGTGCACCACGCACTCAAGGGTGTGCTCTCGGACAACATCCAGTGCAATGATTCGACAACCACTTCTAATCATCTCTTTTCTCTTAATGGAGGCAATCATAGCCCAGAATTTGAACGAAAGCCGGCGAAGAGGGGTCGGATAGAACATCCGGAGAAGGACAATTCTGCCATGTCTGGGGGCGGCCCGACGATACACCAGAAAGTCCTCGGGGCGCTGGATCGGGCATTGAGGGAGACGGAGGAGGCATTTTTCAAGGCAGCAGAGGAGGGTGCGACCGACAACCCAGAGATTGGGCTGATGGGGTCATGCGTGCTAGTGATGCTGATGAAGGGCGAGGACGTGTATGTGATGAACGTGGGGGACAATCGTGCCGTGTTGGCGAGGGGGCAGGAGCCCGATCATGATAACATCCCCGGCAAGGCGACACGGAAGGATCTGCAGCAGTTGAAGGCCGAGATCATGGATGGCCTACAGTCTGTGCAGCTCAACGCTGAACACAGTACCTCTGTTGAGGAGGTATGTACACACCCTCTTGATTATATCATCCTTCATGTGATGCATTTATTTGTGTTTTGATCATTATTAAGTTGTGCTTGTTGGAATCTGGGGGATACAGGAGGTAAACAGGATCAAGGCTGAACATAGTGATCGCAACGCCATCATCCACGGCAGAGTGAAGGGGAAACTCAACGTCACCAGAGCATTCGGGGCTGGCTACCTGAAGGAGGTACACACCAATCAAACAATGTCTCTTTTCTACTCCAACATGCATGTTCAAGCACATCTCTGACCATTGTCAATGTAATATTTCTGCTAGACTATTATGGTGCCACATTATGAAATTGCTAAATAATGTACTCTATGATGCATAGGAAAAGTGCACTTATTCTAAACAACATGCTATCAGTCTAGCACTCAAGGACTAGAAGTCCGTGTTTCCAGTTAATTCCATGAGATAAGTTGTTCACCTCATGTGTAGGCCCTTTAATTCATTCATATACTTGATTAGTGGTAGTCCAACATTATCTCAACAATAGTGTTGTTCCTGCCATGCATGTTGATGAAGAACCTAAAAACTGTGAATGTGACTTGCAATTCATGCATCACATCATGCAAATATGAAAGCCATTGAAACTGTGAGCAACATAGTTTGATGCATGTTCCTTGCATATGCTAATATATGGAGAGTCATCAAAGTTTCCTAAAATGTCAATCTGCACACCTGATAATTCAAGGGATGCTCATTTTTTACTTGGCAGCCAAAGTGGAACAGTATGTTGTTAGGGTCCTTCAAGATTGATTACATCAGCAAGGGCCCCTACATAAACTGCATCCCATCACTCCACCACCATCGTATCGGTCCAAACGACAAGTTCCTGGTGTTGTCGTGTGACGGGCTCTATCAGTATTTCACCAATAAAGAGGTGGTTGATGAGGTAGAGATGTTCACAACTGTGTATCCCAAGGGCAATCCTGCTGAGCATCTCGTCGAAGAATTGTTACTTCGGGCTGCAAGGAATGCCGGTGAGCAACCACCTCTATACTTTGCACAACACAAGCCTGCCTGCACAAACCAGTTTTTTGAAATTGTTCGTAACTTCGCATGCTTATTGATTTTCAGGTCTGGACTACCATGAACTGCTCAACATATCCCATGACGAAAGGAGGAGATACCATGATGATGTTTCTGTCATCGTGATCTCGTTCAAGGGGAGGATGTGGAGATCCTCCGCTTAGGCATAGTGTTGGTGGTGCATAGTGTGTCCTCGCTTCATAGAGTTTCAGAAGTTGGTTGCCTAGTGAGCAATTCAAGGTGTTTCAGAATTAATAAAGACCTGAATAAAATGCTTCCGATGGGCTACTAGGGTATGTTGACATCAGAAAGACAAAATGAGCAGGACTGTCAAAGCACATGCACCATGAACAACAACCTTCTTAGGTCTTTGTTTTCCTTCTCTTGAGAATAATGGTCCTTTATCGCCGAAAACCAGAAACTGATATGCGTAGTTCGGCAGGAGGGACTCTAGTTCTATTAGTATGCTTATATGTAACAAGGTTTCCCGGCAATAGTGATGGAAAGAATATGCAAAACTGTATAAGCTCAATATAAGAATGTTATGTTTGTTCCTTTGCCTATACATGACCGAGATTGCTATATTCCAGTACCAGAAGCCGACGCATGCTTCTCTGCACCGTCAGTTTCACCAAATTAAAACTTCTCGCAAAAATCTTTATCAGGCACTAAAAAAAATTACACTCCAAGCACATAATTCAGTTCACATTCAGTTTTCCTTTCATAGACTATGCATACTGATTTTGGTGGGAGAAACATAGCCTTAAACATTTAGTATATACATACATTGCTATAAATATATAAAAGCCTCCTCACCTTCCGAAATCCAATTCGGCTCTTGGTCCTATGACTCATATTCATGTAGATGAAAACAAAACAAAGTTTCTGACTCCATGTCACCAGTTGGCCATATCCAGAAGTCTGTATTCACCATTTCTATGTTTGTTCCAGTAAGGAAAAGCAACAATAACAATTCTGTGGATTGAGAGCAGACATATAAGGGCTCAAAAAAGAAGATAAAAAAATTGATATCCATTCCACAAACCAAAGAAAAATATTGTATGCCATGCATCAACCAGACATTTTTAATAAGCTTAGTCAGCATACTTTAGCTGCAACCTCATTAACCTGCAATACATTAAGATAGGGCATTCAGGTTTCTACTGATGGCATGCAACCTATTACGATGTATAAATGCAGAGAAATATGCTTGTAGAATAAAAGGAAACAAGAGCAAGGAGACCTGCAAGAAGGGCAAGATTACCGTGCAATGAAATCAAACGGAAAGGACGTAATAACAGAACGGAAATGACGTATTGTACGGTTTTTTATGGCAACTTTAGTTGACGCGAGGATGGCAAATTTAGTTGACAAGCACGGTAATTTTCTGGCAAAAAACAAACTAAGAGTGGAATTGCCAGGCTTACCAACTAAACTTGCCATCCCTCGCGTATATAAATTGAAAACAAAAACGTTCAATTTGCCATTGGCAAATCCCAAACGTTCAGGACATATCAGCGTCTTAATAAAAAGAGGCAAATTAAACAAGCAATGTTCATCATGAAATCCTCACCTGAGTTGCCTCCATGTGGCATAATAATGCCCGGAAAGCATGTGTGTCATCTTAGAGTGTGCCCACCACTATGCCCACCTCGGTTACCGGCACTTTTTACTTAGCCAAAAGAAATTCTTCTGTTAGGCATCAAAAGGTGTAAATGGAATACACCGCATACAACTCAAAACAGATTCTCACTTCCATGGTAAGAAATAAACATCGCTGCCTTTAATTTGTACTACATCACAACATCACGGTGCATATACAGCTAGCTGTTCTGCTTTGTACACAGCAAAAGGACTGACAGTCATACCGCATAATTAGGAGGGCTAATCATCGCGAACTAAAGTTATGATGACTGTTGGATCCCTGCTGCCATTCTACCTATCTATCAACTCTGTAAACTTGCAACTTATCATCGCTCAGGCACCCAAGGTACCCACCTCCCACTCGACTTCCCGCATACCTTAGGTCAAGGATTGGCTGGCGGTGGGGTATCAGGCCAGAATGGACCCCAAGGGAAGGTAGTCGCCAGGTCAGGACCCCGCGGTGTGACTCGTCCCCGTAGGCGAAGAGATGTTCGTCGTTCCCGCAAGGTACGATTGCTGATTTGCACATGCGCACTTCGCTTACGTTGGAGTGGCATGTGCTGCCCTCGGCGAAGGATGCATTGCCTGTCCTCCTGATGACGGTGTGCTGCCCCAGTTTCCCTGCACCAGACTGTGTCGACGTCTGTGATAGGTACGCTTGAGATGGAGCAGCGGCGTCTCCTGATGAGTAATCGGCCTTGGGCCGGTAGGAGGCCACCAACAGATCGCTCGATGGAGGGGCACACGCAAGAGAGAAGCAGACACGTTGGTTATCATCCTCTAGTAGTAGCTTCGGACTGAGAAAAAACGACAACATACATGAGAACCAAAACCGATTTGCAGATCGGCAAAGTTGCAAAGGCGGTCCTAGGCGAACACCAATCGACATCAGTAATGATAAGAAGCACATAGTATTAATGCTTTTGAACCATCCCTGTGTCACATACCTGCTTTGATTGCCATCAGCATCCCACATGCAAGGCCCAATAGCAGAAGCTGAAAGAACCTTTCTGGAACCGCTGTTATCAGTGACAGAGTGGAGTGTATGGACCAGATGTTTAGATAGCCCCGCCATGGAATGCAAGGGTCTTGAATGCTGACGAGTATCAAATACCAAAACCCTGCCATCCTGCAGAACACAACAAGGACATTCATGCAAATCTTGCAAAGGGTATCAAAATTCAATATGCTTAAGATCAGGATATGCTGAACCTGCAAGCCAGCATAAACACGACGTGAATCAGAGTCATGTGCTGAACATGACCAAGCAGGAACCTGCAAGGTAGTGTGATAGAGAATTAGGTCATAATGTCATTATCTGAAATTGGTTCACCTGATTTGCCGATTCAAAATACAAAACATTAGGTGTTGAAGATTGGAAGGTCAGATAATTACCGGTAAATTACACTGAAGAACAACACTGTTGGTCGTCATGCTGGATTCAAATATAACGATTAGTGTTCAAAAGAAATAATGGTAAAACTAACTTAGACGCGACAGTAAAACAGAAGAACCACCATTTGTCATACAAAAAATTCAAGACAAACCTAAAGAGTGAGAGCCTTCTGCCTAGTGATGCAAAAAGAGCAGAGCCACCAGGCAAGATACATATGTCCTTGACAACTTTAGTATCAGGAGGAAGCTGTATTGTACGTGCTTCATGGCTGGATAGCATGCTAATCTGTTGACATTGAAAATTCACAATAAGGTGTTTCAAAATTTTAATGGTGATATCCATTTTGGGAGAAAAACATGATCTAAATATACCTTTCTAAGAACATGTTCTCCACCCACACCAGGTGCCTTCCCAGAAGCAAGTATTATTAGGTTACATGCATCTATGCCCATGACTCGAGCACCATCAAAAGATAATTCCTTCTGTATAGCATGGTAAAGAAATTACAAGGATGGCTAGATTAAATTTGGAAAGAGATAAATCCAGCCAGAATCCAACTGCAAAATTGGTGGAAGAAATATGTAGGCAATGCACAGCGGTTTCAAACAAACAGATAATCCACGAGAATTAGCAGTCCAAATTATGAAGGTCTTTCGACACTAGCTAAGCATTTGGTGCCACTTTGCTTTAATATATTTCAATTATTCACAATAGGTACACATGGGGTGGGACAAAACTGGAGTATTCTGTACTAAGCCATAAAAAATTAGACAGCCATCAGTTCCACCAAGTTCTTTTTCGCGGGGTTGAGGTGGGATCAAGTTCCTATGTGCAGATCACACATTTTCATGACCAAGTGAAAACTGTTCTAAGATCTGACAATCAACACAACCAAAAGTTTCAGCTTCCTTAATCACGAAAAATAAGATGGGTATTACGAGTCTTAATATTCTGTTCAACCTCCTAAACCATAACATGCAAACAAAACAAGGTTTATATGTGTTATTTGAAACAAAATAATCATAGTTGACAACATTTTAGATTTATATATCTAACAGAAGCTGGGCCAGAATCATGAATTCCCTGCCCAACCCAATTTCTACTTCGATGCTGCTTTTACTAAAACTAAGATGACCATATGTTTCAGATCAGACAAGAATACAAGACATCCATTATCAGTAAAACATGTAGTACATAGTAAATAGTATATGCTGAATGTTTACAGCTGAAAATAGCACTTCGTAACAAATATTTACCAGTAAAACGAAACGGCAACTGTTGCCAGAAGCTGAGGCTGCACTGGCTGAGGCTGACGGTTCCAGATATGTTCTTCCATCTGAGTGCTCTGCTATTTTCTACAAAGCAGAGGAAGAAGATTTGGCATATACACTCATGTGGTGTCATTGATCATTGAAAAAGTTAAATGGTATTACCTGTCGTTTTGAGACACCAACATCTGCCGACCTGTGATTCTGCAAGGCACACACATAAGAAAATGAAGGCATAAGTCTCTCACAAGTGTGACAACTATTGATCATTGCGACATTAATTTTCTGATGCAGGAACAATCGATGAATAAAGCAAGATGAGAGATGTATTAGTTCAATATGAAGAACCTCTAATACCTTCTTTGTATATTATTACAGTACCTGAATAACAGGTGCAAACATACTATCTAGTGACACTATGCACTTGACACAATTTTAATCGTTTAGAATGTGGGGCATGCAATAAGCAGCAAAGATTGCTAAAATCTATAGCATACCTTCTCAGAAATTATCTCGTCAAGCAGCTTCCCTTGTTTCAGGACCTTAAGACAAGAAAAAAATTATGTTAGCAGGAACTTACTAATACAAACTAGAAAGAGAACAGCATTTTGCACATGGTGAGCAACTAAAGAAGCTCGCGGGTAGCATAAGGAAATTGCTTACCACTTCCTCAAGGGATTCGAGCTTTTGCCTGCAAAACCATAATTGCTGCAGACAAGCAGCGATGTTCTGATCGCGGCCAAAACAAAATATACCGACAAAGTGGAGAAACAAACCCAACCTTCTCAAGATCGTTATTTGGAACAGCAACCTCCGGTGCATAGATGTTGATAATGTCCTTATGTTTAAACCTTCT